AAACCATAGGCAGTTTTACAGTATCACAAGCAGCAAGAATGAAAAAACAAGTTCAAAGACAGCCAGATAGAATTTCTATAATGTTATGTCAGTATACAGCTTAAAACCTCTCCAAGTTTATATTTTTCCAAAGTTATGAAGCAAGATCCTTATATGAAAGTCCAATAATACAGCACAGTATGAGCATTCCACATAGGCACCAACACCACAGCAGCATTAACTCGTGGACTTTACAGACCAGTTTAATTTTTTTTTTTAATATATTAATCTGGTGAGTGATCAACCTACTTTAAAAAAAAACAAAAACATTTTTACTAGGTAGCTTAGATCATTACCACAGTTTTAAAGTTCTGAACTACTGAAGCTGTGCAAAAAAAAAAAAAAAAAAAAAGTAAACACAGTCTTGATGGAAGCAGAAATAGTCAGCCACCACAACAGGTAACAGCAAAAATACCAGTACGAGTGGTAGCCTACGTCAACATGCTTTTTCTCCAACTTTTCATTATTTTTATTTCTGAAAGGACTCTATAAATACAGGCAGGTGAAACAAAAAATTCGTGGCTGCATATTAGTCTGCTGAACTCATTCCTAATTAAAAGTTTTATAAAGCTCAAAAGCAAAAACACCAGGCATGGAAGAACACAGTTATTCTACATAATGGGTACCCAGGAGTTAAAGTACTGCATTTACCAAGAATTAACCAACTCCTTTGGAAAAGGAGATGTGATACTATTTTACAAAAGATCATCTAGCATTAACAGTTTCCTTCTGGACACTTCAATGGTAGGCAAAAGGGTGCTTTTTAAAAAAATGTATCACTCTGACAAGCACAGGGGTTTTTTTGTATTGCACTCTTTAACAAAACACCTACACAAGAACATGGCAGGCTTTAAAAACACATTAGATAGCCTAGATACTTTTGACACTCATCCCATTCTTACTTTATCTCAAAGACAACTGAGTTAGCATCGCACACTCTCAAGATTTAGGGCTTGCATTTCTTACCTTACAAAGCTTCTGGTAGCGAGGAGAAGAAACTGCCATCCTCTGTAAACGATGCAACAACACCACAACTTTCTGCAGAGATGTTCTCACCACAGCCATCATTTTAAGTTTGCCACACTTCTGAAGACACCTCAGAATTTGCATTATAAATGAAGAGCAACTATCATTTCCTCCCGGTCACTGGACAATGATTTGCCAGCTTTCTGAGCATGCTCTCTTCCAGGACTGCTTTTGCAAGCCACAGGCTTTATACGTTTCAAAGGCAAAGGAGATTGATATAGCATAAGTTTCTCTCCCAAAATAACCTCACAAAACAAATGCAAAAAAATAACAGCCTTCACAGATTCTTCTAACTGGTGCTGCTCAGCTCTGCTTGTGCAGAGGGTAAATGAAATTGTTAAGCAGCCGAGCGTCTGCCACCGTTCAGGAGGGCACTAAATAGCCAGGAAAGGTTATTAATTTAACCCTGAAAGCTGCAGGAACAAAAAAGGAATTCCTTCAGGAAGACGGCTCCAGTGTATCACAACAGTTGTTCTCTAGTAGCTGCTTTCTATCGGCAGAACAAGCATTGCTCCCTCACTCTGGAAAAGGATGCTCTTGCTCTCAGACTAAACGCAGCTCTGGCAGAGCTGTAGAGTGAGTGAATAACAGACTGTGTTATAAATCTTGAGAGAGGAGCAGAGGGATACCTGCCCTAATTATATCAGCCATACGTTAAAGGCTAATAAATCACACAGGCACTTCTCAAAACTAGATTACCCAATACAAAAAGAAAAACTGCAGGGGGTAAACATCTCTGCTATGAAAACTCTCTTAAAGCTAATTTAGTCAAAGGGATCTCAAAGGATTCTCACTTGCGCTAGAAAGTAGGAATGTTTTTCAGGAACCGTTTTCAATTAAAATCTTTTTCTGAATGACTTATTACGACAAGAAAGAATAGGGTTTTGACAAATTAAAAACATACAGTTGTACATCACCCCTTTTTCTAGCCATCCTTGAATCCAAAGAGCTAACAACATTTTGATGTTTTTCCCATGACAAAGCAGAATTATTTAAGCCATCTAAGGATGGCAGTAGTACGTTCAAGAGCATGGAAGTGTTTTGCTACAAGCAAGGCACTCTCAATGCAATACAGCTATTTCTTATTACTTCCAAAGGTGCTATGATGAATCTACTTAAATCTGTACTAGAAGGGCTGCTGTTCAGGGAGGCCATTATCAACACAGTAGGTGGTAGACACCATTACAAGTAATCGTATTATTTAACGTGCATATTGCCACATGAATGGGTACATAGAGATTTCAAGCACATCAATCAGCACAGTATGGAGGCATCAACTACAGGTAGCATGACAAGTTCATATGATCCTAGATAATGCATAGCTTAGAAGCCAGTGCGTCATACACTGGTTGGCCTCTTCTCAGGCACTTTCCGTCTAAGGGGATGAATGCCAGGTGCAGGTTCTTCATACACGACATTTAAACATTCTTCCCATCCAATTCTGCTAACACAGCCTTTTCATCCTTATTTTTAGAACTGAATCAACATTTCTACCAGTCCTTAGGCAAACTCCTTCTACCTGTACTCTGTTTTGTTCCTGATCTGTCCAGCACCAATGACAACATCATTTTGAGGAAACAGAGCCTTCATTCCACTCTGTATATAGAAATCTTACCACCTGTATTCTCCACTTTGCCAGACTCAGCTTCTTTCCTCATCTCCACCACCAATTTGAACCATTCCCCTGTACTGCATTGCTCCTGGCTTAGATCTACTCTTCTCTCCCACCACAGGTCTGTTCCTTTAACCTACCAGCTCTAGGTGACTGTCATTAGCTGATATGCCGGTACCGAACATCTTTTCAGGAAACCTCTGAAGCAGCACAAATCCAAAAACACTAAGGCATTCAGAAATAAATGTGTAAGAGCCCAAACCTCTTCTGTGTAAGATAGAAACCATGGTCCGTGCCTGCCTCCTCCTCTCAGTTTTGCTTTTTTCCTTCCCAGCTAATATACAAATTTGAATCAAGCAGCGAGACAAACAAATAGATCACCACTAGTCATATTGATTTTAATTTACAATAAAACAAAACTTTCAAATTATTTTGAACACCTTGACATCTGTAGGCACAGGACTTCACACACATTGACCCGGCATTACTTCTTACTATTTCCTAGCTCATTTTCTGCATCTTGCTTCAAATTAGGTTTTAACTTCTTTCAGGTGACTGCTAAATGTTTTGCAACATGGAGTGTTTCATAGAAACATAAAATGGTTTCAGCACTAACCTGAAAGTCTTCTGCAACATTTAGATACTGAGAGAATGAATTAAAAAGACTGATGCTATAACTGTAAATTTCCTCCTTTTCAAAAAGAAGTTGTTACTGCACTCAAAGTTTGCATTATTTGCTTAGTACAGTTGCTAGCCTCAGATGCTGCAATGGAAGGGTAAAACAAGGCTTTAACAGTACAGTGGAATCAGTGATCTGGACAGAGTGGCTTGAGCTGCAGCCAAACAAGTTAGCCCCAAAATGTAATGGAGGATAGTCCTCCCCTGCACACACACAGATGCCAGTTTAATAGATGATCCTATTTTGAAAATACATGTTGTATAACAACAAATTCATCATGTTTTGTCCAAGTTCAGCACATATTTCACCTAGAATTTATCACACCTTAAAACTCTGAGGTGTTGCCATTAGACTAGTCTCAGCATTTCAGAGAGTCACATCTCTACAGATGACTGACCGGAATCATATAAACATTGGTGAGTGACATGTCATCTTCAACAGACATAAGCTTCCACAATATATCGTCCTCTTCCTTATGATTACAGTGAGCAGCTTGCTACCAGATACTTTAAACTGTCTTGCTTCATTTAAATTCAATGTAGATATGTTCAGATTAAGAGCACTACTGAAAGCAGCACTTTTTTCATTATAAGCTGTTCAAACCCCATGAACTTAGACCACAGATGACATTATTCCAAACCCAGAGTGCAGGATTTAGTAACTGATCTAGCTGCCCAGTTCTGTGAGTATCAAAATAACTGTGTTAAATGAGGCAATCTAATTCAAGGAAGAAAGATATTAAAACATTCAGGAGAAAGATGACATGTACAGCGTTCACATCAGGTGAACAGGACAAAGGAAATTCATGTGTCATATAAACACAAAATCCTTTTAGCCTGTGATGTTCAACCTTTTGCTGCCACAGACCCAAAGATATTAATTTTTAAAAGAGCTGTCAGGTCTCCACGCCCTTTCCTCCTGTTTTCCCTCAATACACTGTACCCTTAGTGCAGACTGAACCCAGCTCCTCTCTCTCCCTCCTACCTCCCCGAAGGAGGTTATGGGATATGCAAAGGCAGGAACAGCCAGATGATGTAGTACTCAGCTAGTCTGTGCTGCTTAGACAGAAAAAGGGATCTCTCTCCTAGATTTTAGACAAGCTAGGTTGTTCATATATTAAAAAGAACTGTCAGTTAATCTCCTCAGTTATTTCTCAGGTTTCCAGTTTGTGTCTGTACAGGAAGGAAGGCCAGCTGGGGAGCGGCTGGGCAGCAGGAGAGAGAGAAGAAGTGATCCAAACACAACTTCTTGGATTGCTGGAAAAGTAGGAGGAAGACGGCAGGCAGGGACAGGAGACAGTGCAGCCCAGAAGGGCTTTCCTTGGAGGGAAGTAGATTAAATTGTTTGCTCGGACAATCACACAACGTGACTTGGTTTAATCAACTATACACTTCCTGAATACAATAACCCCCCGAGGACATTTAAGATCCCTCCATGCCACAGATGTCCACAAAATATGTATTTCAAACCTTAGGAAAAAAAAAACTGCTATCCTCTTCACACATCTGACTTCTAAAATACTGGTTTTTTTCAAACACATTCCAATAGACTGCAGGTTTACCCACTCTAGTAGATAGCTTTCCTTTATAACATTTGCCATTGAGAAAAAAGCATGAATAACAGGAGTATTATTTAGTTTCTCACCTGGATCTGCTTTCTGAGTTCCCTTATGCAGGCACTGTCCTGAGCAGTGTTCTCACGCTGGGATGCATCTGCTAGAACATTAACTGTTGTCTCTGCCTCTTGAAGCCACTTGAGGAAGCCCTCCAGATCCCTGTGTGAGGCCTGTACTGTCTTCAGCTCTGTCTCCAAGAAATTCTGCCTGTCAACAGCTCTGAAATCAAGAAGAATGTCAGAATATTGCCCCATAACATACAGAAATACATATTTCATAATGAAACTACTAAAAGGAAATCTGAAAGTTATCTCTATTAAGAAACTATACATTTGTCACAGTTTGTTTTATCATTATTTATATCACTGTTTCTCTGGTTATTATATCTACAGCTACCCACAGATGTCCTGAATTGGTTATATATGCTACAATTCTTTTTAAAAAGGTGTGTGGAAGAAATAAAGTTATTAATTAAAACCTAACTTTTCCTTTTTGAGTATTACCATCATGGACTTATGCTACCCCAAATGGTAGAAGTGTTACTCCCATGTGTGAAAAGTGTTAATGCTTTTCCTCATCAACAAAAATCATATGCAGTAGAAGCACTGAGGGTTTGGGGGATTTTTTTTTTCTTCTTCTTCTTTTACAGTAAGCAGAAACATTTCCCTAAATTTTAAGAGTTACAGTGCTGAAGGATGAAAAGTCAAATACTTGGTTCTCCCAGCTAAAAGACAAGATTTTTGACACTGTCACTCAAGCAAACAGAATAATACACTGCCATCATAACAGTCCAGCCATGCTCATACATGCTTAAATCTGAAAAGAGACTGGCAGAATATAGTCCAAATTTTCAATTAATCCAAAAGATCTCTCGTTGGTACAAACACAGAAGTTTTTGTTTGTAAGAGCTTTTTTTTTAAGATGTAAGGAACTCATTTAAAAACTTTGGATTATATTACTGGTAAGCTACTTCAAAAGATTTCCTAGGAAAAAAGATCCCATTATACTTCTGCATAACAGAACTGTTTCCTTGTCATTGAAATGAAACTCAGATGGGAAACTGTCACAGTCAGCAATTTTAAAAGCTCTGATTAACAACAATTAAAGCATGACAAGCTAAATTTCATCCATTTGAGGCTGTTATGCTGCAGTATTCCTTTTCCCAAAATCAGGACAGAAGAAAGAAACAAGCTGTCCCACACCAGCACACTGTACAGAACTCCCTAACAGGGCTACTATCTAGAATGCTGCCAAATAAGCAGGAACTTCAATGTTATCTTCACATCAAGCGCTAACCATCTTGTAAGATTTCAGGGGTAAAGGCATATTAATTTCAAGAAAGGCAAGGCCAAAACACTCAGAAATTGGTATTTTCACATGAATTGAACATGCTTCTCCAGACAGGCTCAAACTTATGTGTCTTCTGCCTCCTCCTATTCTACTTAGGCTTTCTTTCCTCCTTCCCATGCTGCGGCAACAGTACTGCTCAACAGTATTAGGGAATCACTGTGTCTAGAATCACAAATTTAAAAAGTAGTAGTTAAAATATTCTTTTAAGAAAAGAAGCTGCAGGTGTTCAGTACCATTCAGGATGATGTTTCCAAGCAGGTATTCTGGTTCACTAACACTTCAGAAAAGACAGATACAAAGAAAAGCTGTTTTCCTTAAAGGAGTAAGAAAATCTCATGCAACCCCAATTCTGCCAGGCTTACATTTCTAAGCATTAGCATAACCAAATGAATTTTCTAGAGACTACTTGCAAAAAGATAGTGTTGCAGTCCCCACTTTAGGAGCTTAGGCCTTATGTCACTTGTTAATAATTGCTTTATCCAAAATAAGACTGTGTGAATCATTCCTGACTTCATGCTTGCCCAAGTTTTGGCTACTGGTAAATGGCTAGCAGGGCAAGCATCCTTCATTCTTGCTTCTCACTTGAAGCTCTGAAATGCTTCACCCACTCTTGAGAAAAAGAATAATAAAAAGCATGCTAGGGACTACAAATGGTTTGATAGATATTGCCTAGAAAAGATAACAAGCACCAGCTCAAAAATTAGAGCACACCAAGGAACTGCGAGAAAAATGTAAAGTAAAAGCAGTTATGAGCTCTGACTTCAAAACCCGCTCCCTCTGCAGGGATTTTCTTCCCTAGCAGGGGGTTAAGGCCAAAGGTGGAAGAACAGGAGTGACAACGGGAAGAACAGACTGGTAATAAAGGTGACCTTCAAAGAAAAAGAAAAGCCCTGAAGGATGAAACGCTAAGTGACCCAGATCTCTAAGTCTAAGTACTGATGTACTAGATGGGAACTGAGACAACCCGAACTTTGTAGCTAATAACAATCATTGAAGAATGCCATCTTCAGCCTAAAGTTTTAATTTCTCAAACTTTCTGCTTGGTTGAAATTAAAG